AGGATTGGTATATATGGCAAACAAATAGCGATATGGTGTATTATACCAGACAGACAACATATTTCATGGCCTGTACTTGGCCATATTAAGTGCTTGTGTTTATCCTGAAGATTGCAGCATGTTATCAGAAGAAAAAGGATAATAAATTATTAATAGATTTGGACTTCTCTTGAACTGAATTTTAATGTGCGTATTGTTATGCGTTTACTTTTCTACATTGGCTAGAGGTATAGGGGGAGGGTTGAGATCTCATAAACATGTTTAACCCCGCCGCATTTTTGCGCCTGTCCCAAGTCAGGAGCCTCTAGCCTTTGTTAGTCTTGTATTATTTTTTAATTTTAGTTTCTTGTGTACAATTTGGAGTTTAGTGTGGCGTTCATTATCACTGAACTGGTATATATATTTGTTTAGGGGCCAGCTGAAGGACGCCTCCGGGTGCGGGAATTTCTCGCTGCATTGAAGACCTGTTGGTGACCTTCTGCTGTTGTCTGTTCTATGGTCGGGTTGTTGCCTCTTTGACACATTCCCCATTTCCATTCTCAATTTTATTGAAACAATAGGTTAATTTTGACAGCAATGCATTAAAGTTTGAAACATTTACAAACACAGGGATGATTCCAGGTGTTTTCAAATGGGTCCCTTGACCATCAAATTTGGAATTTTCATCCTAATTGGGAACTTTTTATGCATAAAAACTAAGATGAAATAACATTATTTTCCTGTAAAATCGGAAAATGTATATTAGGTTTCACCTGTACACTGCTGTAATAAGTTGTAACATTTTGAATAATCCTGGATGGGCTACTGATTATGATCAATATATATGATTACCAGATCGCTTGATAGTTATTGGTTTGAGACCAGGGAAGTTGTTACATGAAGATCATTGCACATGATGGCGGCAGATGCACTATCTTCTCTTAGCTATGGTAACCTAGGCCTTTTACATATATAACAGCTAACATAAACTACTGAAAAAATCATCCATTGGGTATATTTTTCAACAACAGGTCATCTTTATAAATTTACCTTGATTCAAATGGATTTCAAATTGTACTGGCTAATTGTCGAATTCAGAAAAGCAATTACAAAAGTTCAAGTACTATTTTTGTGATTTTTGCTTGCTGTTTAATATGTAGAAGTTTGCCATAGTTTTACTTTATGTGTAGCCCTAAGAAACAAGAAATTAAAGCATTGAACCATTGTATTTTAATATTATTTCATTTTGGATCATCTTCACAACTTTTGAAACAGTTCCATAATGCATGTAATGTTCATGCAGGGGTTAAAAAAATTTGTTACAGCTCACTAGCCCAGGACTTATTGGTAGCAGGATTTTACTAGCCCTGTTGAAAGAGCTGCTAGCCCATCAAAACTGACCTGCTAGCCCGAGTATACCTTTCAAATTTAGAGTGGGTGTCCCTTGTTTTGAATGCGGCATTATACACGGTTTTTGATAAAATAAATCAAATAAATTTGTGTTTTATTAATTATAACAAGGATCTCTAGACATCTTTTTGGATATCCCTTGTACTATGGGTTGTTAAATATTTTCGGGCACAGAAAACATGTTCATTGATATTGTCATGTTAAACCAGTGGTTCAATTCGTATATTTGTTGTTCCCACTTACAAAGCAGACTTTTTATCAGCGAGATCGGGAAAATAACGGCAATATTCACAAAACATCATCTCTTGTTTATCATCAGTAACAGTCGACCTTGCCCATGGGGAATCTTTCTGTCCATGACACTATAAATGTTTTTTTCCGCTTTTCCTGGTCGTATTTGGCATTTTTTGGGATAAATTTTCAGCCTCATTACCCCCTTCATCTACCGTTTTTCGTTTTAAGACTGACAAAGTTCCCGTACTAAAATGTTTAGAAATAATTTGTGCATGGTTTCAAGCTCAAATTAACAGCTGTCTGACAAGACAGGTCGATATCGATCATTACATCATACACCCAAACATTCACAAACTTGCTGAATCGATCATTACATCATACACCCATACATTCACAAACTTGCTGAATATAACATAAATGGACCATTCCTCAATATTCTAAAAGATATGTACAAAGAAGTTTTATTTGCAGTTAAAGTCACTGAAGGCATTACTAAGATGTTTCCTTCCACAGTTGGAGTAAAACAAGGCTGCATTCTAAGCCCGACCTTATTTTCTTTTTATATAAATGATTTAACCTTCATGTTTGATAACTCATGTGATCCTGTAACATTACATGACATAAAATTGTCTAGTCTTTTATATGCTGATGACTTAGTATTAATATCAGAATCTTCAGAAGGTTTACAAAATTGTCTAAACAAGTTAAACACTTATTGTGAAAAATGGAACTTGACTGTCAATCTTGACAAGAAGAAAACAATGATATTTAATAAAAGTGGTAAAAAACTTACTAAAGACAAGTTTGTATTGAAAAATGAAGTAATCGAATGCTGCACAGAATATAAATATTTAGGTATACTATTCAAGCCATCAGGAATTTTCACTAATGCTGTAAATCTCCTCTGTAAAAAAGCTTCAAAGGCATTGTTTTGTATTAAAAAAATCCTTTACTCTGATAAGATGGATGTTTTTTCCCATATGAAACTTTTTAATTCTTGTGTTAGTCCAATATTATTGTATTGTAGTGAGATATGGTCACTAAATATTGTGAAGAACAACAAAACTCTTGAATCTCAATACTTATCAATGGAATCAGTAAAACTCCAGATCAAATTTGCGAAAAGTCTTCTTAATGTTAATTCAAAGGCAGTAAATACAGCTGTATTAGCTGAATTGGGAATGTACCCTATTGGTATACAGGCCCTTAAGTCTTCTGTAGGATTTTGGTTACATATTTTAAATTCAAATGAAAAGGAGTCTTTATTATATAATGTTTATAAAGTTAACAAGCAGTTAAATGATGGATTTGCTTCAAAAATTAAAATGCTACTATCAAAATTGAATTTCACTCATGTTTGGGAAAATCAATGTACCTTTTCTAAAAAACGATTACTTTTAGCCCTCGTGAAGAAGCTCAATGAAAATTACATTATATTTTGGAAAAATTGTCTCTTTAATGATGATAATTCAATAAATGGAAATAAACTAAGAACCTACAGAAAATTTAAAGTAAAGTATGAACTAGAAAAGTACCTTTTATTGAATTTAGATAAAAATGTTACAAAAAATTATGCCAAAATAAGAATAAGTAATAGTATGCTGGCTGTTGAACGCGGTAGATACAACAAAACAGCCTTGGAAAATAGAATATGTCCTTTATGCCATAAAGAGGTGGAAGATGAATACCATTTTATCATAACATGTACAGAAATTAATAAAACTAGGATCAAAATGTTTAATGAAATTTCTAGTATTGTCCCCAGTTTTAATTCAATGAGTAAAGAAAACAAATTTGATTTTATATTTTCTTGTGAAGAATGTGATATTTTACTTATCATTGTTAACAATATAAGTGAAATGTATAATGAGAGAAACAATTATAATGTCAGTATATGAACTGTGTGTGATTGGTGGCTTAACTTATAATGTTAGATATAATCATAATATTTGAATTGATAATTTTATAGAGGAGGCATGCTGTCAAAAATAGTATAATACTTAATATTAATAATCTTTATTTTTTTTTTTTCAATGCTACATGTTTATATTGTTTAATGTCTATCGTTTTGTCATTAATATGCCTGTCTGTCTGTCTGTTTGTTTGTTTTGTTTTGGTTTTGTATTGGTTTGTTTATTTAGTAACAATCCTATTGTTTGGATTTTAAACTAATAAAATTCTTATTCTTATTCTTATTATTCTTACACCCAAGTACCATTAATTGAAAATCTCGGCATAAGCAATGTACAATACCCCCTGTACTGAGAAATTGATATTGAAAGTACGTGAATTGCGATCAATACATGATACCGGTCCACCCAGAGTTAGTTGTTCTATTTTTAAAACATGTACACAATCGGTTCAAATTCTTGGAATCCCGGATGACGTACGTAATTGAATCTGATTGGCTAAGATAGAATAGTGATGAGGGGATTTTCCACTTACTATTTTGGAAATGCCAAGAATTGTTTGTTACTAGTCCGTCGGGCATATTCGGTTACAAGTTTTAATTGCCCGAAGTGTAAAAGTCTAGTCCTGGGCGTCGGGCTAGTGGATTTTTTAACCCCTGTCATGAATGATCTATCGTCCACATGTATTTCCAAAAAACGCTCAATCATTTGTCTTTAGAGGAAATAGAGACTGACAAAATATAAATTAATTTCTTTTACAAAAAAAAAAGGTTTTCATCATATCATATACCGGCTCTGCTGGGCGATCTGCCTTTACGAGATCGGCGCCCATTAAAATTTATTCATCAATGTTATATCTAAAATGAAATCTAGCTCTCTGCCGAGATCTGCTTTAATGAGACCCATTTTGACAAAAAGCATCTTGTTTATCGACCTGCTGGGTGATCACTGATCTGCTTTTACAAAATCAAATACTCCCATTTCATTTTCATCAATTGAATCCGGCTGCTAAAATCGTTTACCACATGTGACATAATTAAATCAGTGTTAATAAAACGCGATCGTTGACAGCATTCTCACCCATGCCATACAGATTATAAAATGCTTTGACGACAAAACATTATAGTTGCCTAAATCAGTGACGGAAACATTTCCGGAAATAACGATTTTTATTTTATTTTTCCTGAATTGGGAATTTATATTCACACAGTTTTTTTTGGGGCCGCTGGCCGATTTTAGGGCCATTAAGTGGCCCTAAACTATATAGTAGAATCATCCCTGAAACAAGTTGATTTTCTTACTTTTTTAAAAGTAACTCTGCATTCCAGCTGATGTGCCTGAAATAAAACTAGAGCCATTTCTATAGAACCAGAGATATCATGTATAATACATATATTGTATAATGTGTCTCTGAGAGAACTCATTCAATAATGACTAAGATTATTTTATGATATTCAAATGGAGTACCTTTGAATTAAATTCTTTTTCAGAGTTAGTGAAGAGTTTGGTACAATTTGTTCGTGACTGCTTATTTCAAGTAAGTGTTGTTTGTTTATCTTTTCGTCTCGTGCAAACATTGGTTTGTTGTTGGATTTGCGCTTCAAACTGAGTTCTTTCGGTCTTTTCTTGTCATGCACTTCCATCTGATCAGGGAAGGGGACGTGAAATGGGAAGGGGATAGTAACGGTTATATCGAGTGCAACTAGTCCTACGTCAAAAAGAATAATAATAATAAATTCTTTATTTAAAGAGGGTAACTCAAGTAGAACTAGTCTTCATTTTTTTACTCTATATTATTTTTTTTAATAATTATTTTTGTCATTCTAAATTATATCAATTACCATATGGTAAAAATTAAATTATTTAATGCCCAAAAAGGCGCAAGCCAGGGCCGACCGTGCAAGGGCTGTATAGACAGTCAAGGTCGTTAAAAACTTCCATTTGTTGAACTAGTCTAATTTTAATTGAGGCCCTCAAACAAAATACATGTATACAGTAATTCGGCACCGCGATATACTACTGGTTCATTCGACGTTTCAGGTGTTAGACCTACCACTTCAAGTTGTAAGCAAAGCCACATGGTATGTGTTTGGTAGTCTTTTTCGTCTTTTGATCACCTTCGTTGCTATCTAGTATTGGTTCTTGAAGACATTCGAAATCTGCATATATGATATATTGTGCTTTGAGCTGTTTCCGAATATCTTTGTAATATAACCACTTATTTTCTTCAGTAGAAAGTTCGATTTTCTGTGGTCCGTGAGTCTGGCAGTTTGGTAGATGGTTGTTTATTATTCTTTCTTTTGTAAATCCATGTAAGCAGTATGGACAGTAAAAATGCTTATGTTCAGAAGACTTTTGATCGCCCAATAGTCGATTTAGATTTTTAATCCAGCAGAAATGTGATTGTTTGCTATCTGATATCATGAGTAGATTTGCATATTGTTCATATCGATGTTTCGTAACATAGGGAATACATCACCCTTGTCGAATCCAAAGACATTTATTGATATTTCGTTCTGTTTTTCGAACTTTGGAATGTCGTCCAATTTCACAGGAAACATGATGTTTTCAAAATTCAAGCTAGATACGTGTTCCCTGTACTTCCAAACCCGCTCTCCATCACGTTTCGCTGGGTACATTGCAGCCAGAATTGACCACATAAAACATTTGTTGTCATTGTTTTTTACATTAACATTCCAGCAGCGCCTGCATACGGAGTATATATCTCCCAATTGATACGATATTCCCGGGCTTGTATTTTCCATCATGATTTCCTTGATAGAGGATTGCTGCTCACAAGGAAGCTATTAAATCAAGAGTTCAAAATGGTGAAGTTGAAATCATCCCTTCGTAAATTTTACGGACGCCATCACGAGTTGGTTGACCCTTATGGAATAACCGTTTCACAGATGATATCGGATATGTACCTTATGTCGTAACTACAATACCCTTCCCTTTTCACGAATGTGACCTACCGAAATAAGACTATTTACCGGATTTGTAATAACATAAGCAACACGACGGGTGCCACATGTTGAGCAGGATCTGCTTACCCTTCCGGAGCACCTGAGATAACCCCCAGTTTTTGGTGGGATTCGTGTTGCTTAGTCTTTAGTTTTATATGTTTTGTCATCTGTACTATTATTTGTCTGTTTGTCTTTATTTTTGGCCATGGCGTTGTCAGTTTGTTTTCGATCTATGAGTTTGACTGTCCCTCTGGTATCTTCCGTCCCTCTTTTGGAACTCTTGGTTTAATACATAGGGTTTTCCCTGCATATCTATTAATAGACTGGGAATTTTCATCAATAGATTTAAAGAAAAAAAGATCATATACTTATAAACGTATCCATAATTAACACAAACGTAATTAGTAACACTTTATAATGAATTAAGCTCCATAGAAATATTAATTAATTTAATTAATTAGTGTTGTAATACCTAATGATGACGTCATAGAAATTAGCCTCACATCGGGAGGCTACCTCTCAGGAGGGTACCTTTTCCCCATAGGGTTCACATTAGCAAAAAGTCGTCAGAACCGGTAGTTCCCCCACCCCACTACTCCCACTACTAATGATAGTCAAAAATAACATTTGGTGCCTGACGGTAAAAGACATTTCGACCATCTTGAAAGATTTCTAGGATCACTTATTACAACACGGGCCAGTATATGTAAAGACGAATGTATATCTGCTTTATAATTTCATTGCATTGAAAGATATTTGTTGTTTTATTTTTCTATTTGATCTCGTTAGGCCGTCAATCAACAATTTATAGTAACAGAACTTATTGAAATGCATCAAACTGACAAGTTGTCACAGCAAGCTAACATGGTCAGTTAGGGGAAACTGAGAAGAAATAAATCTTGACAAAAACAAACAAAAATCATATTAAACGTAAAAACCACGAAGATCCGCTGGTCTGACAAGTGTTTCAAACTGGTCCGAGTTGTCTTTTAAACTTGTCCGAGCTGTCTATAAAAGTGGTCCGAGTTCTCTTTAAATTGGCCTGCGCTGTCTCAGCCCAATTTGCATTTGGGTCCAAGTTGTCCAGATTCCACCTCAAGCTCCCAAGATGCCATTTTGTATCGAAATTCCGTTGTTCAACTATAGAAAAACATCATAGGAGTTAGTCTTTGTTTTGAACCGAAGGTTTATATTTACACTTTAAAACGACTCAATATTTAAATGCTACCTGTAAGACTAGTGTAATTGTAATCCAAATCGTAGGTGCATGACAGTTTCCGCAAATGTCTATTTGTACCTATATCATAATTACATAAATGACACACTTTGAATTTGTTATTCGACAGTAGCCGGACATTAAATATGCGACCACATACACATGTTTTGTTTGTCAGCTTTCTCCTTCGCATATGTGGGGGATCATTGGATTTCAAAGTAGTGGACCTTACACACGATCACAGCAATACAACAATATACTGGCCCGGATCTCCAGAATACAACTTTACAATTCTAGATCGTGGGAATACGACCGGCGGCTATTGGTAAGTGAAATTAAAAAATATATATATTTTAACTTCAGGCGTTCGCGAGGGGAGGGGGGGTCGGTATTTTATACCACACGTTGGTATTGAATGTATCATGCATGCACGAAAATTTTCCGGGGTTGGAAAGTTGAGAGGATGTGCACATGTTAGCTGTGATCATAAATTGTTAGATCTCTCTTATTATTCCATGAAACAAATTTTTATGACATTAAAGAATACCTTCTACATTTACGCCAAGAGCATTTCATTTCTTACCAGATTTTCAATTTAAACGCTTGGCACCGCAAATTTCAACCATGATTTCATACAAAGTGTAGTAGTCAACCAAAAACCAGCTTAGTTCACAAGGTAACAATTCGTAAGAAGACATGTCGCCCTATCCAGACACATTAATCTGATTCCGAGCCGACCGGTCTTGACTCTTCCAGACTTTTTCCTAAATGACACGTGCATAGAGTAATGTGGCGTTCACACAGTTCAGATTATGGCTCCCGTTTGGGATCAGACTGCGCTAAGACACGAAAAGTGAAAAAAGTCGGATTACTATCCTCAATGATCTGGAATGTCATATCATTGTCTGAACGCAGTAGTATACGTTCGTAACAGATTTCTACGGATCGGGAATGGTCCGGAGAGGTCGACCAAGCACCCCGACAGTTAGGTACGTCCCGTAACATTCGGGGAAACTCAGTCGATTTTGTCTAGTCGGATTACAATCGTGACTATGTCGTGACAGATTCTGCTGTATCGGATCAAAATCGTAACAATGTTCTGTGTTTTCTGCAGATTGATTGCAGATTGCATCCAGATCTTGCCGAATGCGAACCGTCTTTACCGAAACCGTTCCGGAACAGTCCCGTTATTAATACGAAATTCGGCAACAATACCCACGTCAGAGTCCCGAAAATTACAGAACACGATACGACTGAGTCCAGAGAAAGTCGTTTGCAATGCGGTACAGCAGACTGTGATAGGATTGCGTTCCGACAGAACCTGATCATCCCGAATATGGCGACAGTTTGCTAGCGGATATCTTCCATCAGCGTCGGTTCACTGCCTGGTCACTGTCTGATCTCTGTCGGATCGCATTCGGTAGAATCGGGACGATGTCGGGACGCTGTTGGGACAGATTCGGTCGTTTTTTACCTTGCGAAAGATACAAATCGGATTAGAATCAAATTGAGAACGGGATAATCGGGACAAATTCGGATGGAAAATATTTCATGCAGATTTATGACCAAGAGAAGAATTTTCAAACAAGAAATAAGAAGTTGCATGCTTTGTCGTTGAAAAAGAATTAAAAGAAAATCCAATAAAAATAAACATAACCAGTGTATATAATGTGTGAATCCTGAAATACCATTTTCACTGTATCCGTTATGAATTTCTAATGCAGAATGATAAATAAACAGAAGACAAATTCATGATTTTTGAATAGAATAAGAAATAAGATATAATGTGTACTGTTTTTATAAATTCATGATTTAGGTATGAGATGCGGACGGGTTTTCATCGCGCCTACAGCCATCCAGGTGTAAAATTGATACACAAATAGATAAATATTAAGAATAGTTGACGAACAGAGCATGCAAGAGATTTAAAAGCAGCAGTTAAGTTTCATTTGCAGAAAATGTACCTTGTAACATAATTATTAATATTGTATAACTTAAAACAGGTTTTGTTATTCAGCTTGTTGATATTGAATTAAATTCCACTATGCTGTTTTCGTTATGCGATTCATGTTTACTGTCGAATAATGATACTAGACTTTCATTTTCACTGTAAGGGCGATTCATTTCTATTGTACATGCGATGCATTTTCACGGAAGGAAATTAATTGATTTTCATCATATAAAACGTCTTAATTCAGCCGACTCTCTAACAAAATTTATGAAGTCAGAAGGATTGATTATATGTGACCCGCCACGACATTTCCAGGCTTATGGAGGTAGAACATCATTGTGAGAAAAACGCCGTTAACTATATGTGACTAGCCACTTCCAGGCTTATGAGGGTACATTGTCTAAAATTTGCTTTTTGCATATTTATCTAGAACATTCTGAAGCAAAAAAACTCTGTCATGTTATTATGACCTATTTTTGTAATAACAATGAAACGAGTCATTTCGAATACCGACATGATAATGAGACTGTTCGATGACGAATTTTTCATTATCGAAGTCACTTATTTATAAAATACAAAATTATTGTATTTTATTGGCGCTTAGTTATCTTCAACAGCGTATTTGAATAAAAATTTCAAACGAATTAAATTTACAACATTACAAACAGTTCTTAGCTCTATTTTAGAAAATGTAATTTAAACTTGTTAAAATGAAGTTAGTATAAAATTTGTCAAAGAAAGCTTTTAGAATTCCTTTCTTTTTTAAATTTGTCTTTTAACTTAAATTTATGATGCATGTCTCTATACATAGTATGCGACGCGTAGCAGTTTTTAAGTAGTTGTTCCATATATGCATTTCATACGGTGCATTTATTATGGATATATTTTAGACTCCATTTATGAAAATCTATAGAGCAGAGAATTTTGATGTTTTGTATCAATTTAAAATGTAGATTCAAATATTTTTCACTTCAAATGATAACGTTGGACAGTTGGGCTATCAAGGATAATATCTGGTTCAGGTGATCGAATTTTTATTCTATCAGATTTCAGATTTCTCTTAAATCTACTTTTTACGATTTACTACCGTTACTTTGATTAGATTGCAGTACTAGTACCTCATATTACAAACCAAATACATGTATGATCAAATATACCTAATGTCATCTTATCTACTGCTTATTATCCCATTATTATTACAAAGAAATTAAAATAGTTTTCCCCCGTGTTTTGTTTTTATCATATTAATCAAAATTGATAAATGGTATCATTTATGCAGTACAGTGACAGATTCAGGGGTGAGGGGTCACGGGGTAGTGTCGTCATACATATGTCGTTGATACAGACAAAAAGATCTATCATGTCAAAATCATGATACAACAGGAAATTTTCATATGCACGATCTGAACACAAGAATTTACAGAATAAGCATATTTCTTACAGAATAGAGAAAAATGGCCAAAAGAATTACAGAATACAGAAATGTAAAACCCGCCCACCCCCCCTTTTTCCCCCCTAATCCAGACCCTCATATATCATTGTGATGGATAGTTTTGTTTGTTCTATTTAACTGTTTTTATTTTCGAAAAGAATATTTGTACAAGGTGTTGTTAATAAATGTAACGGACAATATATACCATGCCCTCTCAGCCGACGTCGTTATTTCATTTTTAATGAAAGAAAGTATTTAAAAGCTTCTCTCCCTGTGCAATATGATTTATTAAACTCATTAGGCAGAGCAATTTTTATGACTACTTGCATAATTGTTTAATCGTATTAAATTCTGTATCAAATTTATATTAATAATAATAGTTTCAGATCTTTATAGTCTAGTCAATTTAGTGAACAACCTGCAACTAATTGCAACACAAAGTTTTTCTCTGAAAAACAAGTCTGTTACTATCTATGAATAACATACTAAAACTATACAAAAATATATTTTGCGGAAAGGGATGTAATTTATAAAAATGTTTAGTAATAAAAGTAAGGTTATATGAGTTGCTTCCCCTTATTTCCCAAAGTTGAAAAAAATTAAATTATACAAAAAATGTTCTGTAGTTTTTAAAACAGTTGAAATAATACAATACAATACATAATTATTTCAATTTAAAAGAATAATATTACAAATGAATCACTTTCCTGTCTCAAAATTTGTATATTTGAATAAGGATATAGACCGAGATTGTGTTCTGCTATTTTACAATCCAAGAATCTAATTCCCCAAAATAGTGTTGGTTAGTAACCTATAAATGGAAAACTGCGCTGAATTAGAGTTACCAACTTAGTCACATTCTTACTTGGTATTTGAAAGAATTCTGCCCCTGTGTTAAAGGCACAGACAGTTAATTTTTTGTTGGGCGAGGGGTTCCAGAAAGTCATGTTTTGTTCTTTATAAAATAAATGTTATTGCAAGATTCAAAGTTTTTAATGTATTTTTTTTCCCACAACTTTAGAAAGAAAAATATATATTTTTTTTTTCATTTACCTTCTGGAATAAACATGTTAAGATTTAGAATTCAACAATGTTTCATAAAAAAATAAGAATGATGAGTGTTAAATGATTTTATGTTAAATATTTTTTCACAAATGAAAATTTCAGGTTCCTCGAAGCAAATAGCTACTCATGTAATTTGCGACGATCTCAGTACTCACACACCATATAAATAAAGCTTTGACTGTAACACTGAATCCACGTTTTACTTTGGTTACTAATCGGATGTGTACTTATTTATATAATAGTCGGTGCCAACAGTATTTATTCATCAACTGTAATTACTAAGCTTTGAACTAGCTATGAGAACTCAGTGTCTTTTTGTTAATTGGTCATATACTCCGTGCTGATCTTTTTGATTTGAGCCCTTTCCAACTGGTTTTTCCAATTTGTTCTTACGTTGTTTGCTATTTAAATAAAATTGAGAATGGAAATGGGGAATATTGTATGTCAAAGAGACAACAACCCGACCAGATCAAGAGCAGATAACAGCTGAAGGCCACAAATGGGTCTTCAACGCAACGAGAAAATCCCGCACCAGGAGGTGGTCCTCAGCCGGCCCCTAAATAAAAATTGTTCCTGATTATTGGAGGGTTGAGTGCTCGCAAACAGGGTTAACCCTGCACACTATGAATATGATTATCACAAGTCAGTGGCCCTTTATTACTTGGTTGTTATTGTTTGCTGTCTGTCATATTTGTTTTTCCGTTTATTGTTTTAACATTAATCAGGCCTTTGAGTTTCTCGTTTGACTTGTTTTATATTTTGACGATGAGCTATAGTTGTTTACATCCACACCCACATCATTGATATCTCTTGTGGAAAGTTTTCTCATTGGTAATCATACAACATCTTCTTATGTTTTTAAAGTGGGGAGATTTTA